TACGTTTGAATTATAATTATTGTTTAAATTGATTTTTACTAAAACCATTGCAATTTGTATTTCGTTACGAACATTCCAAAATGTTCTAAAATACAAAATAAATAGCTATTAATTCTATTACAATTTATTTGTCTTGCACAGCGTAACATAGACACCTTCATGGTAATGTTAATCGATGACTTTGACAGCTCAAGTTGAAATATGCAAATTTTTACTTGAATTATTTTTTAAATGCCTTTAATTTTTACATCTTTTATTTGTGAAAAAATGTATTAATGTGCAATACATAGAGAAGCGAAAACATATTGCAAATTTATATGACAATAATATCATAAAAAGAGCGCCCCATTAATAGGAGCACTTTTTGCATTTGTCATTTTTCCGTACCTGAGCGCGCGAAATCTCAGCCCTGCCATTCGTTGAATGTAATCGCTTTCCGTTTAAAAGCTATTATAGCCTCGACATTTTCGTATTAAAATTTTCTTTTTAAAATATTGTAAGGAATCTACTATTAAGAGAAATTCCGGTGGTTTTAGGACACCCTGTATAAAATTAAATTACAATAAATGTCCCAGTAAGCAATCTGCGCGCAGATTGGCGACAGGATCTGATGAATTCGAGCAGGATCTGTCGACAGATCCTGCTCGAATTCATCAGATCCTGTCGCCAATCTGCGCGCAGATTGGCGACAGGATCTGATGAATTCGAGCAGGATCTGTCGACAGATCCATAGACATCTGCGTCCCCAATCTGTCGTCAGATTGTTGACAGAGTCTGCGAACAGACTGACAGCAGATTGGCGGCAAATTGCGTGCAGATCCTGTCATTTCGTATGTTCTTCAATTAAACTTTTAGTAGAAAATTTTCTCATAATTTTTCATAATTACTTATAGAATAAGCGTTTTCTCATAAATACTCATAAAATATAATGAAAAAAAAAGTTTTTCTATATTATTTTTTCATAATTTTTAAGATTTTCTCTGGATTCGAACTTGAACCGAAGACATCTTTTAGATAATCGTCCGTTGTCTTAGACACTACGTCAATTCCTCACTTGATAAAAAGTGCTTTGTATTGCCCACCTAAAGTTTAAGGAAGAAAAATCTTAGAGTTTGTTCGCCTTTTAAACCGCAAAATATAGACGAAACCGTTTAGCGTATAAATAATCTAAGAGAGACCGGCATGATAATTCGAAATTAATTTTCTACCAAGGACTATATAGAAAATTATTGCAATAAAACAGCAGATAATGACATTTTTCCATCAGGTTAATAAAATACTGTACTTTTACGTGTGTGAATTAATTTGGTCGATCGTCTCGTTCAGATTGTATTAAATTTTATCAAAATCGAAGCATGATATACGAGTATTTTCAAATAAACCATTACAACAATTCTGTAAAAGTTTGTAACGATCTGCATAAGCAATCGTTCCTGAACCAAATAATAAATGCATAACAACGCGATCAAAAAATACAGGAGGACATCGCGTCCTCCAGAAACACGCAAAAAATGCGATTACAGTGCGACCACCGAACATCTGCGGTAAACAGCGAATCAAGCGTGATTCGCAAAATATAAAACACCACGAATTCTTAGATCAGATCAGATCAGATCCGATCCGCCGCTTTTTTGAGAGAATTAGATTCTAATCATCCGCTCTTGAGAAAGATCCGCAAGCACCGACTCCTAGTGGACTTCTGATCGCGAATACGCGACAGAAATCATTCCGCCGTCGACTCACGGATACGTGACATCGACGTTGTTTCTAACACCGCTCCTGGCAGATTTGCTGCTTGCGAATACGCGACAGGAATCATTCCGCCGTCGGTGCACGAATACGTGCCACCGACATTGTTTCAACCAGCCCGTTCCTGACGGATTCCCGCTCGCGGATATGCGACAGGAAGCACTCCGCCGTCGGTGCACGAATACGTGCCACCGACATTGGTTAAACCAGACCGTTCCTGGTGGATTTTCGTTCTCGGACACGCGATAAGAGTCCTGCCGCCGTCGAGTCATGAATACGTGATACCGACACTGCTCCGAATACCGCTCCTGGTAGATTCCCGTTCGCGAATACGCGACAGGAATCACTCTGCCATTGACGCACGGATACGTGACGTCGATATTCTTGCATCTACCGATCCTCGCAGACTTTCGTTCGCGAGTACGCGACAGAAGTCACTCCGCCGTCGGCTCACGGGTTCGTAACGCTGACACTGATATAACTACCGTTATCCGCAAGATTCCACGGCCGCCGAAGGGCCTGGAATCAACACACCGGAAAGGCGCTTAAGGGGGGATGGTCATGTAATTCGAAATTGTTTGACGTTTTTTTATTGCTTAAAAAATTAGTTTAACATTTGGAGAATAAGCTCCTAAAGTTTGAAATCGAAATTCGAAGTTCAAATGTCCCTATAGTGTACAGTATGTTTGATAAGAACGTGTACGGCAAAACTTTTTCCTCGAAACCGTTAGAGGGGGGATATGAAC